AGGTATCAGATCCTGTGCAGATCCATCCATTTTTGTCTTAAAATTAGATGCAGATGACATCAGAACTGTTTTAGAACTATGATCTCACAAAACCATGATTCACTGCTGACCTTTCTCCTGCCTGTTTTGTTCCTGCTGTCTTTTTTCACCTACATGTCTGCTCAGTTCAATTACTGTTTGAGAATGATTTATTGATTACTCACTAGACATGAGGGATGATGCTGGATCCTCTACCTGTTGAAATCGTGTTGATTCAAAATTCACATCTAATGCAGGTGCCTGCAGGACCGCTCCCTCTCTCCTGACGGGGAGGCAGATGTGCTTCATGGTTCTTCTGAACACCTCTGGTGCCTTGTTCCTCCCTCAGGATGTCTTATTTATTAATATACTTGCTCTCCCCCACCCACCCACCACCAGTCTTGTTCCCCCGTAAGATTATAAACTTTACTGTGGCAAGGGTGAGTCTCACTCATGTTTTCATCCATCCATGCTACCTTAAACATGCTTTTTAAAGTCAGGAACGAAAAAGATACATGAAAAGTCTGCAGTTGGAGAGAAAGGGGGGGAACGCAGAGCATTAGCTTCCTGCCTCTGTGCTCGACAGCAGAGTGGGGCATCAGGTAGCAGAGCCTTTTTGTTCTCAGAGAGCCCCTTCATAGCGACGCCTCCTCCCCTTCTCTCAGGTCTCCTCCCTCCCCTTTTCCTCCTCCTCCTCCTCTTTCTTCTCCCTTTTCCCCTCTCCTTCTCTCTCCTTTTCCTCCTCCTCCTTCCTTTCTTTTTCTCATTATTGAGTTGTGGTCTAATTTGATCTTCAGCTTTTTTGTTCACTTAGTCTCCTCTTTAAAATGGTCTGTGTGTTGGTATGAAATGCTTTGCGCTGTAAGTTCAGTAAAGGGGGAGCCCTTCTTTCACCTTTGAAAATTTGGTACCCGAATTCAAGCACATAGATCCGTGATGTCCTCAAAATGGGGGGGAGAATAACCCAAGCGTTTAATGTTTCCTTACCTTTTAAAATGCTGAGCCGTGGTGCTGAGCATACTGTAAAATGGGAACTAGAGAAATAAGATTAAGTGAATTAAATT